AAGGGGGCAGCGGGGCGTAGGGGTTGGGGGTGCTGGGTCCATCCAGTGTGCGGGGAGGGCTGCTGGGAGATGCACACATGCACCCCGGTAGATGCACACACGCACCCCGGTGCATGCAGGCACGCAGATGCGCGCACACGCACCTTGGCACGCGCAGGTGCGCACACCAGGCAGTTGCGCACCAGGAGGTGTGCAGGCTCTCGCACAGCTCCCCGTGCTGTGCATCCCCGGGGAGTGCACGCACCCACTGACACACACTCGTGCGCACTCGCACGCCTGTCCACACACACTCATATGGGCACGAGCGCACGCAAGTGCGCGGGCACAAACACCCCCCAGACTTCCACGCACACCGCTTTCTTTCGCCCTCACACACATGTGCACACATGCACTTGCACACACGTGCATGCACGCACGTGCACGCTTGCGCAGGCACATGTACGCGCATGCATGTGCATGCACGCACATACCTGCACACTTGCAGGCACATGCACACACACGGGTGCACACGCATGCGCGTACACGAGCACACGTGCAAGCAGGGGGAGGCATTGCCATGGGATGGTGCAGAGGTGGTAGCGAGGGAGCTGGGCTTGCAGGGAACGAAGGGGGACACGTAAGTGATGGAGGGGGACACACCGGCGATGGAGGGGGACATGCAGGGGACAGAGGGGGCCATGCAGGGGACAGCCACCAAGGACAGCCAGCTGACTCCTGCCATTCGTCTGCCCACCACAGAGCCCGAGCGGGGCCACTAGACCCCAGCTCCCCGAGAAGGTCCCCGAGGATGCCGAGGCCACGCTGGTCCTCGTGGGTGAGTGGTCAGCAGGGCTGCGGGTGCAGGGTTGGGGTGGTGGGTGCAGGGTCAGGGAGGTGGGTGCGGGGCCAGGGTGCGCAGCGGGAGCTTTGGTGTCTGCCTGCTTGCTCACTCGCCGCTTTTCTTGTGCCTTTTTTGACTCTCCCCGTTCTCAGCCCTTGCTGCCGCCTGCTGCTGCTCAGCGCTGCTCTCTGGGCCCCGTGTCCCCATGTCCCTTGCCCTCATGTCCCATTTCTCCACTCCCCTGTGCCCCCCGTGTCCTCATGTCTCTCTGTCCCCTGTGCCCCCGTGTCCCCATGCCCTGATGTCCTTGTGCTCTCATGCCCACCTACCCCTGTGTCCCCACGTCCCGATGTCCCTGTGCCCCTGTGTCTGTGTCCCTGTGCCTCCGTGTCCTCATGTCTTTGTGTGCCCCTGTCCCATTCCCTTTGTCCCCCATGTCCCCACGCCTCTGTGTCCTCTTGTCTCCAAATAACTCTGTCCCTGTACCCCTGTGTCCTCTTGTCTCCATATCCCAATGTCCCCATGTTTCGATGTCCCCACGCTCCTGTGTCCCCATGTCTCCATATCCCCATGTCTCTGTGCTCCTGTGTCCCCATGTCCCTGTGTCCCCGTGTCCCTGTGCCCGGCCCCCCGGGACCCCCGTCCCATCCCATCCTCCCCCCAGGCTGTGCAGCCTTCCTGGAGCAGCCGACGCTGGCCTTCGTGCGCCTGAAGGCCGCGGTGACGCTGGACGCCGTCCTCGATGTGCCCCTGCCCGTCCGCTTCCTCTTCGTGGTCCTGGGCCCCGACACCCCCCATGTCAGCTACCACGAGATCGGCCGCGCCGTCTCCACCATGATGTCCGACAGGGTATGGCTCCCCCCCCCCCACCATCACCACCGGCACTGCCACCGCCACCAGCACTGCCGTCCAGGGTGACAGCCGCCCTGAGCACCCCAAAGTCCCCAGCCCTGGGGCTGCACCCTCTAATAGGGCTGTGCCATGTCCCTCTCTGTGCTCGTGTCCCTCTGTCCCCATGCCACTGTGTCCCCTTGTCCCCACGCACCTGTGTCCTCATCCCTCTGGGTCTCCATGGCCCCATGCACCTCTGTCCCCATGACCCCATCTCCACATGCACCCCCGTCCCTACCTGTCCCCATGTCCCCATCTCCACATGCACCCCCGTCCCTATGTCCATATGCATCCCTGTCCCCACACTTCTGTGTCCCTGTCCCCCCATGCCCCTGTGTCCCCATGTGCCCATGCCCCTGAGGTCAAATGTCCCCTTGTCCCCATGTGTCCAAGCAACCATGTCCCCATGCTCTTGTGGTCCTATGTCCCCCGTGTCCCCATGTCCCCATGCCCCTGTGGTCCCATGCCCCCCCTCATCCTCCATGCCCCCATGTTCCCATGTCCTCATGTCCCCATGTCCCCATTTCCCCACGATGCCCCATCCCCGCGGGGATGGGCAGGGGCCGGGCGGGTGCCCAGCAGCACCCAAGGGTGCCGGAGACGACTGAGCGCCCGTCTCCGGGCCACCCCGCAGGTCTTTCGCCGGGACGCCTACCTGGCCGAGGGCCGCCAGGACCTGCTGCAGGGGGTGGAGGACTTCCTGGAGGCCAGCATCGTCCTGCCGCCCACCGAGACCCTGAACGAGCAGCTCCTCCGCAGCCTGGTGCCGCTGCAGCACGAGCTGCTTCGCCGCCGCTGCCCGCCCCCCGCGCAGGG